CCTAGGGACGGGGGGGGGGGGGGGGCGGGAAAAGTGGGGGGGGGGGGCGGTGGCCCCACGCCCCCACGGGGAAGGCAGGGAACAGGAGTGGGGGGCCTCGTCCTGCAGTCAGGGGCAGGAGAGCCAGCCCCGCCTCCCCTCGCCTCCCCTCCTCTCCCTAACACGGTCCAAGCTCCTGTTCCCACATCCACCCGAATCCCTCAGGAGGCCGGGCCCCAACTTTGCCCCGCCCTGGCCACTGCGTTGGGATTGTCTTTGCAGTCTGCCCCCTTTGCTCCTAGCCTACTCCAATCCAATCACCTCCTGCAGCTTTGCTGGTTCCCCCTGAATCAGGACAAGAGTCATGTCATTTCTCGCAGTCTCCAAACCTGCCTCCTGCCAACCAGCCTCTGCAAGGCGGTCAGAGGAATTTTTCCACAAATGCATTCTGATCACCTCTTTCCAACCTGTGTCCCCAGAGGCTGCGCAGGGACTAGGAGACAGTAGATGCTCAGTGGACGCAGATACGAGCAGAGAGCTGGGCTACCCAGGCTAATGAGGATGTGTTCTGCAGTGAGAGCAAGAGCCCCACAGACGTGATGGGATTGGAGGGGCTCACTTCTGCAACCCTGGCACCCAGCACGGCGTTCAGTGCATGCTGAGCAGCCCACACACAACTAACAGATAGACGTGAGTCACAGCTAGAAAGAACCCAGTGTGCAGAGGACGGAGAGAAGGGCAGGCCTGTGGCCTGGCACCCTGCGGTTTCTAACCCCGCCAGCAGCTCGCCATTCCTCAGGGCTGGAACCCAGCTTCAGCAGCAATAGCCCTGAATGAAATACCTCCGGGGATGTATTCAGAGATGAGTGCTGTCATCGCATAAAACCTACAACTGAGGCAGGAAACACCTGTTTCATAACATGCACAGCCACACCAGTGAGGCGGGATCAAAGGCAAGCAGTGTACAGAAACTACAGTGCTGTACTTCGGCTGCCAGCCACGGCCCCGGTTTCCTGCTCATGGGACGGTGTTGGTGCTAACATGTCTGTCCACATCTCACCCAGGGCTCCTCCTCCTGGGCCCCGGCCACACCCTCCTACCCTCTGACCTTCCTCTTTCATCTCCCAAACACAGGTCTGGGACATTGCTGGGAAGCTGG